AAAGGGGAGAAATCCAATGTTTTTCACAGCACTTGAAAAAAAAATATTTCTAAGGTCTTTTTCTTCTTCTTCTCTCCCTCTTCTTGAATTTCTAGCAGATTTCTGCGAAATATTGATTAATTGGCATGGAGGAGGCTGTTGAGAGCCGTTTGTGGTCAAAAGACCTCTAAAAGAAAGCCAACTTGTGTGTTTAATTATTGCTCGCCCCTGAAAGTCCTTTCTTTCTAAAAATCTCAGTTAATTTAGAATTGAATGGACTTTCTCCCTCCAACTTCCTTCCCACTTCAGACTGATCACCCTTTTTAATCACTATTATTGTTTTTATACAAAGGGGGTCTCCACTTCTGATCAGATTTCCGTAAAAGCTCCAGCAGTTTCCTTGCTCGCAGAGGGTTTTATATATTTAATGAATATTGCAACAGTCAGAACTCAATTTTGATCCAGAATGAGACTCAGTTCCTACAGTTCTTGTGCCAAGATGTTTACAAATTAATTAAAAGATGCAGAAGGCAATGAAAGAAAAGCAAGGGGGGTGTCCTTGGTCTCTGAATCAGGAGCCAACATTTGGGTTACTGATGTGAAATGCTCTTTCTTAAGATTCTTTTTTTTTAAAAAAAAAAATCGAAGTTAACCCCTAATACACAAGAAACAACACCCTTTACCACCTATGGAATCAGCTTAGAAGAACATAAGTTCATGTTTAATATGCAAAGTCTTTTAACTCAACAAATAGGATCTTGCTAAGCTGACCTAATAATAATTAAGTGGGCAGTGAGGTGACGGTACATTAATAAAAAAAAACTTGGAACATCAAGCTTTGAATGTTGGCCAATATTTTAACGTAGAGTTCACAGCGTCTTAGTGATCTGGGCCTAAGCAAGCCTCAGAGCTGAGGGCTCTTAACATTTAATGCCTCTTAGTCACAAGCTTTTCTATATAACTAAGGACAGTTGCGAAGAGGAAGCTGGTTACAAAAATAGCCATGTTTAGACTGGGTGTTGCTTTGTCAAGCAGCTAGTCCTCAGTTTAACCATCAGCAAATGTTGACGCCACCACATCCTGGAGCAATTCCAAATGCCTCCGAACCCCCATTTCTCTCTTTATAATGCATTTGAATTTAATTGAGGAGATATCTGTGCATTATTTTTATTTGGCCCATCTCGTCCAAAAGCGACTTTTTTTAAACATCTGCTTTTAGGATTTAATGGCTCAGAAATTCACATGATGAATATTTAAAGAGTTTGTGCTTGTTTTTCCACTTTGATTTAGCTATTATGTTTCTGTGGTTTTCTGTATTTTTTTGCTGCTAGGTAGCCATAAACTTACTCCATCCCTGCGGCTGGAGCCACCTTAAGAGGGCAGCATATAAATTCTGAAAATATATACAGTAAAATGAGCAGAATTTAACCAACCTTCTCAAATCACTGCTTTTTTTTTTTTTTGCAAGGCAGAGATAGTACCTGGGTTTCAGAAGGAGAGGCTTACCTTGATGGGCTACACAAAAAGGACATTTTTTCATGTCTAAGCCACCATGTCTAAGCCACCATAATTAATTTGGAAACCATTATTAACCATTAACTTGGACCTTAACAAAACACCCTCATGAAATCATATCAAATATTAACTCCCCCCCCAATTTTTGAGTAACCAGAAAGTTGCCAACCTCCCATTGTTTGGCTATTATGTGTGTGTGTCTCTCTCTGTGTGTGTTCCTAAGGAGAGGGTGTTAAGAGGAAAGCTGACAAAATTAGTGATTATTCATTGGCTATCTTGATAAAAGTTTTGAAATTCACACAGACAAAAGAGATGGGGAATTCATTCCGACTTGGTGTTTTGTGTAAGCCTGAAGACTGCAACTTGAGAACGAAGTGGCTATGTTCTCCTTATGGTTTTGTTCTCAAAAGCTGGGGGTTCTCACCAACTCCTTGTTTCACAAAGACTGTCTAGCTGTCCTTTCCCCTCTAGTGGCACCCCCGTTTTCCAGTTTTGTGCCATTAACAAAGTGCAAAAAAGACTTGTGAGCAAGCTCACCTGTGCCTACCTGTGTGACCACGGGCACCTGCAGGTCACAAGGAACTTCAGAGGCTGGTGTTTTCTCTAACTATGAACATCCAGGCCTTTGAATTGTGTCCCAAAACTAAGAGAAGTGCACCAGGCATCTTAAAAGACCGAAGGAAGACCTGCTTTGGACCTCTCTAAGTATCCATGGAGGCCTCAATCCTGCCCAGATCCTCCAGCAGTTGGAGAGAGGGATCCCTTTTGCAAAAAAAAAAGGCCTGGTCTAAAATCCATTTTTTGTGGGATCTGTTGCTGGCAAAAATTGGAAGGCAGACCTGGGCTTCTCAGATGCTGCTTTTGTTCATCAGATCTTAAATTATCCATATGGGAAGATGGTGGCGATCTCTCCGTTTCTTACGCAACTTCTCTGCCTTTGGGGGGGATCTAGAAATTTGGCAATTCACCAAGAAGGGGATCCCAAACAGCTTTGATGCCAGAATCATTATTGGGCCAAGAAAACTGGGGCTAGGGGAAGGAAAGAGCTCGTGGGCTGTAGGTGCCAATCTTGTTTATGGGAAATGTTCTGGGTCCAACAAGGGTGTGGTGACATTAATGGGCAGTATTATTTGTTAATGCATTTGCAAAGGTTTTGTGGAGGGTCACGACAAAGAAGACCTCAGAAAAAGGTCTTTTTTATCCCTTGCAAACATCCTCATGAAATTACTAAGTAGTGATTTTAAGTAGGAATTCAAGTACAAGATGTCAGTTTTTTCCTTTTTTCTTTTTTTTTCATTTCTCTCACTGGCCTGTTTTTTCTTGAATTCTTTGACTCTTGATGCACCGTTCCCGCAGACCCTCTTCATCCAAACCAAACAAGGCAAAGTTTCCAATTTAAATATGTTTTCCGCTCAAGCTCCTGCTTATGTACAAACAACACCCAGGCTGGGACGCAGGTGAACGGCCCAGAAATTAAATAAATAAAAATTGGGGAAGGAAAATAAATTACTACAGAATCCTGAGAAATAAAATCAATATTAGTCAGTTGTTCCTTTAAAAAAAAAAGTCTTTGATTTCCCCCCCCCTTTTTTTTTTCTTTTTCCCCAAACCTTGTTCAGCGCCCGTTGTTCCCTGCTGTGAAGGAGACTACGGAGAACGGTGCAAGTCTCAGAATAAATGAAATTCAGAATTTAAAAAGTGCACCAGTTAGTAGTCAGATATAACTAACAGAATGGCGGTTAGCCTCTGCAGCCAATTCCCCAAAGCAAGGATGGATCAGGACAAGCTAACATTGAAATTGGGATTAGACAGGCAACACCTCACCTCACCCCACCCCCCAGGCCAGACATGATGAAAAAAAATGAAGCTGCTTCCCTAAAACGGGAAGGGACTCCTTGGATGGGAGACCACAAGGTGATCCCACCGGTGTAGCTGAGCAAGGAGACACTTTTAAAAGACGACACAATGGCCCAGCAAATCTGGATAGATGGATCGAAATAGCTGATAAAAACCCAGTCAATCTCTGCCTTCTCTGCTACAAAGACCCCCCCCCACACACACACTCAATTAAAAACCTTTGGGGGCTTTTTAATATCCGAGTCCTGTTTCGGACCCGCAGAAGAAGCTTCTAAGGCAAGTCCAGAGAGATGATGGATCCCTAATGGCATATCTGAAAGAGGTCCGTTACCCTTTCTTTGCACACACCGCAGCCTGCTTGCTCCCTCCACCCCCCCCCCCCCCCCCCCCCCCCCCCCCCCCCCCCCCCCCCCC